AATAAAGGTTTTTTTGGAGGAGGGGACAAGTTATTCAATTATACTTATTAGCTGTATGACCTCAAGTACATTATTAAACCTTCCTACTTTGGCATAAGAATTATTTTGAACTGAAGACATTTGAGTTCCTGAAATCCCTTATCTGCCTAAAACAGGGCCTCCCAAAAGAAGTCAGTTGTCATAACCCTTCTGTCCAGGAGCAGCTCTTATCTTGTTGACTTGAAAAGTAGGCACCACACCCAAACAGATGTCTTCACCCGACTATCTCCCATCTATTCTCCTAAGGAAGAACTTACCGTTTTCTCCATTTATCTTTCCAAAAAGGCATTCCCATAAATTCCTTTTCTCCTCTTCCCCATTACCTACTAAGTTAAGTATATAAGCCAAATTCTAACTACCCCTTTGAATTACTCATCACTAAATTCTTCTGTATGTATGTGTGTTGCATCTGAAAATTCTGGTTTTTCCCTCATAAATCAGTCTTTTGTCAGTTTAATTCACATGTCCCAGACACTGAACATAAGAGGATAGAGGAAACTTTTTCCTCCCCTACACTAAAAGTCAATTTTCTTGTCTGTAAAATAGTGATGATGATGATGATGATGATGATAATGTATTGGAGAATTTAATGAGACAAAAGTAAAATGCCTAGCACAGTTCCTGGCATACAGTACATGCTTGATAAGTGCACTATTACTGTGATTATCATGATTAGAATTATGGAGATAGTGTTGGTTAAGGAGCAAAACTGGAGGCTGAAGATCAGGTTTTTAACTAAGAGGATCAGATTTGAGTTTTTGGAAAAGTATTTTAAGCTGCAGGTAGCAAACAGTTTAGAGAGAGGCAGGAATGAAGACAGGGAGACCACCAGTTCAAGGATATTGTGGTAATCCAAGCAAGGAACAATGAGAATCAGAACTGTTACCGGGAAACCCCTGGGTGGGTCAGGCTGCCTGTTATAATGTCCACTAATAGAGGCAGGGTTGAATCATATAAGGCGTTTATTGAGAAGGCCAGCCAATCAAGAAGATAGGGAGCTTACACGCACCCAAAACCTGTCTTACAGCAGGTTTATATAGGAAAAATGGACTGGGGTGAGGTTGGGAAAAGAATGCGATTACATGCAGTCCTGGAGGTCAGCAGAATTCAACCATTGTTCTTGGTTGTCAGGCGATGAGATGATGTCTTGGCTCTTGGTGGGGTTGGCCTGGTCATGTTTAATGGTTCTGCTTGCTTGCTGGGTACAGTATACATTGTCTGAAGCTGAATCACCTCCTCAATCACTTTGTTGCAGGTGTACAGGCCTGAGAAATGAACTTAGGAAAGAAAAACTTAATCCTCTGTTCCCATATAAGAAACTTAACCTTCAACCCTCTGTTTCCATACATATATCTATTTTAGGATTTCAAAATACGATTATTTTTCAGATTAATTCAGGTGCTCCATCTATCAGATTATAAGTCCCCCTCTATTAAGAACTAAGGCAATTGCAGTCCAGGTGGAAAGAATTGGACACATCTGCAAATGATGCAAGAAAAGCTACTAGCAGGAATTGGAGACTAATTAAATATGCTTGCTTAACTGTATAGACAAAGGGCAAGATGTCAGTTTTTCTTTTTCAACTTTACCTGCCTGTGCTCTTACCCACCATGCTATCTGATTGTGTTCTCCCTAGCTTAAAATCCTCCCTAGCTCCCCAGGCCTTCAATATCAGAGCCAAATTCCTCATCGCAGTTTCCCAGGCTCTTAGTGATCATTGCCTACTTACCTATCTTGCCTTGTTTCAAAACCCTCCTCTTCTCCCTTACAATTTGCTTTTTTTTTTTTTTTTGCACAGGACCTGTTCTGTCACCCAGGCCTTGCTTAAGACAGACAGTTGCCACCACCTTGCAGACACACCCCTCCTCACTGTCCCTAACCGCCTTCTTCAGGACACAGCTCAGGCTTCAGGTCCTCTGCAAAGCCTTCTCCAACCCACACACTGATCTTGACATTTTCTTAGCTTCCCGTGGGTGTCTTCAAAAGAAAGAAGTTTTGCTGAACTGTCATTGACGGCCTCCTGGACTGGCTTAGAGACAGACCATTTCATTCCTCTTGTATCTTCTGACTTCGTTGGACACTCAATGAATTATGTTAAATGAAAGAAAAAGCACATAAATGAATAAATTGACAAATATCACATATCGGTGTCTCATTTAAAAACTTTTAACAGTTTTATTGAGGGTATAATTGACATACAATGAACTACACAAATTTAAAGTGTACAATTTAATGTTTTAAAAAAAAACATTATTGACGAGGGACTGAGACCAAGGCCAGGCTGCCCTGGGACTGACTGACTGGAATGTGTAAACCATTCGCTCCTACGTGTCCTTGGTTAGGGAAGACAAAGCCTTGTGATTTATTAGCCGGCTGTTATATTGCTCAAATTGTTTGTTCTTGTCTAATTATTTTGTCTCAGTTTCCCTTATTCCACTTGTCAAGGAATTTCCCTAATTTCTCACTGTTCTGCCTCATTAGTAGGTATGAAACTGTGTCTCATTCTCATCATGGTTTTAGTATGCATTTCCCCAATGACTAACAATATTTGGGCATTTTTCCATGGGCTCTTTTGCCATCCATCCATCTTTTATTTGAATTGTGTCTCATTTTAAATCCAAATTGTTGCATTATTTTTCTGATCTTACATAATTCAGGTACTTTAAAAAAGTAAGGGCTTTGTTTTTCCTAAGTGCTGGAAGAAAAAAAAAACCACTAATGGGAATTATCTGGAATGATGAAAAAAAGTTTCCTTACCACTTTTGGAGAATATTTATAAATATAACATAATTTATAAATGGTTATAAATATAAATCCTACATAAAATTGTTAATATATTTCTGATAATAGTGCCACTTCAGTTAGTTTTCAAAT